TTCCATCGCAAAATCACGCAACAATACGATACTCTTAGTCATCTGACCATCTTAGTCATCTTATCATCTCAATCATCTCAGTAATTCAAACGATAACTAACTAACGTGGTTTATCATTGAATAGCCTATATCATCGAGTAGCCCACTTTCACCTCAATTTATACTTGTTTCTTTTAACATATATTTTATCAACAACCTATAATGAATTCGAATAATTAAAAAGCTTATATACTCCTTACTATTGAAGCTATTTATAAAAATAAAAAATTAAGTATTCAAAAGGCTACTATACTTTATAATATTTCTTATACAACTTTTCGATATAAAATAAAAGGTTTACTTCTTTATACAAAAACTCAAACGAATTGTTATAAGATTATAGAATTAGAAAAAAAAATGATTATTTAATATATACTCGATATAAATTTAAAAGAATTTTCATTTAAACTAAAGAATATAAAAGATATAACAAATAATATTCTTAAATTAAAAAGTATAAAATATATTAAGAAACTTTGGGCATATCAATTTATAAAATATTGAATCAAATTAAAGATATATTTTAATTATATTTATAACTTTTAAAGAGTTTTTTATAAGAATCCTAAACTTTTTAAAGAATGGTTTCGATTAATTACAAATATACAAACGAAATATAATATTTTAAATAAAGATTTCTATAATTTCAATGAAATAGACTTTATAATAGAGATTATATATTTAGTAATAATAATAATTAATGCTGAACAAAATGACAAAAGCAAAATAATATAGCTAGGTAATTGAGAATAGGCTATAATAATAATATATAAAAATAAAAAGGGTGAAATTATTCCCTTATTTTTAATAGTTCAAAAACAAGTTTATCTCTTTAATTAATATATTAAAAAAAATCTTCCTATAGAATAAACTATTAAATTTATATCTAATAAATAAATAAATAATAAAACAAATTTAGAATAATTGAAATATTTTGATAAACATATTAAAAATCAAAGAAAGAGTAAATATCGAATATTAGTATTAAATAGGCATGAAAACTATAAATCAATAGCTTTTCAAATATACTACAAAAAGAACAATATTATATATTTATATTTATTATTATATTTAAGTTATTTAATTCAACTACTTAATATTAACTATTTTAGTAATTTAAAACATTTATATAATAATCAAATTAATAAATTTATTAAAATATATATTAATTATATTTCAAAGGTTGAATTCTTTATAACTTTTAAAATTGTATATAAGAAATTAATCACCTCTCAGAATATAAAATCAGAATTTCAAAGAATAGATTTAATTCTATTTAATCCTAAAGCTATACTCTCGAAATTAAATATTCAAATTCATATATCTACTCCCTTTTTTTTCAATTTAAATCAATGAATCTCTCAAACCCCTTACAATCCAACAAAAGCTCTTTTTTAATTAATATTAATTAAATCTTGAATAACTTATTATTAATCAAGCTCTCCTACACCTATATTCAAAATTATATTAGTTTTAATTAAAAATATAAAAAGATTAATTTATAAAAATATACTTTTAAATATAAAGAATTGTATACTTTAAATAATAAATAAAATATTAAATAAGCATTAACACATAAAAAAAACTTAATTATATTAAAAAGGAATACTCATTAAACAAAAGGTTCTTAATATATTATCTTAATAAAAAATTGATATTTAAATTCAATATAATAAACATCAAAAAAAGAGGAATTCTAATAAAGAAGTATTTTCTAATCGATATTATAATAAATACAGAAAGATAGAATATAATACAAGAACCTATCAAAATAATATAATAAATCCTAGATTATTAAATTCTTAATAATTTCAATTAATTAATTCAATTGTTATTGAATAATATGGATTTGAAAGTATAAATTGAGGTGAAAGTGGGCCACTCGATAATATGGGCCACTCGATGATAAACCACATTAATATTACTAGGTATGTATGACGTCAATGATAATGGTGGGGTAATCGTAATAACCTGCATCAAGAAAGCTTCCTTTGCTTCAATTATCCTTGTTATCAACCATCACCACCCAGGTAGTTATTATATTATATCAACAGTCATCATTTATATTAACTCGGAAACCTTGTCGACTATCGTGGAGTATATATTCAACGACCTTTCAAACCGTAAGGTGAAGCGGCATAAATTGAATTGCAAGGTTTGTTCTCCCCTGTCCTTTCGTCGCAGGAGACATCCATCTATCTTCTCTATATACCTATATAGTTGATGAGGCTATTCATGCGATGGTCAACATGAAGCAATCACACATCGAGACAAAACCTGAGAAGTATCCAGATTTGAAGGATCATTTTATGTTACATCTATATTTCATATCTTGAAAGTATTCGCTGGTCAGATACGCATTGCATTAAAAGGTGCCATAAAAAGAAAAGGAAAGAGCTGATCAGTTTTTAGGACCAATAAAACATAGTACTTTCTGGATTCGATTCAACTATCAATATGTAAGTACAATTTGTTAATTTAATTCTGTTTCACATCTCTTAATTTTTACTTCAACACCAAGGAAAAAGTGATCAAAAAATGCTGCGACGGGCAAATTCCAGCAGAGGTTCTGGATCGGGAGAGAAACATAATCCTTTAAAACATTTGTTCGCACCCAATCATCCTTTGTTACACCCTCGTCGTCGCGGTCTTCGACCCATGTTCAATTACGCTGATCGTCAAGTTAAAATTATAATCGCTAACATTCTTCTTGTCAGGAATCGAGCACTGTCAGTTCGCTCTTCAGGGGGCAAATCTTCATCCAAAGAAACTTCATCCTCCAAACATTTCTCCCTCTCTTCCCTTCGTGGAATCAATCAACCGGATCTCTCAAAGAAACTTTACAAACTTATCAAAACCGAAAACAATCTCATTACAGCATATGAAACGGCAGGCAAAGAACGTATCTCGATTGCTACTCAACTTTCCGAATGGGGTGAATCCACTGAAGACGATGCGATTTCGGAAATCTCGGATAAGATTGGAGTTTTGTTGAGCGAATTGGGTGATCAGGAAGATTATTATGCACACAATTTGGATGATTCAAGAGGAGTATTGAAAGCGATTCGAAATACTGAGAAGAGTGTTCAACCAAGTCGGGACCATAAACATAAATTGGTAGACCAAATTGCCAAGTTACGGGCCAAGGAACCTCAAAGTGCTACATTGGTTACCTTGGAGCAAGAGTTGGTCAGAGCAGAAGCAGAACAATTGGTTGCCGAGGCTCAATTAACAAATATTGTAAGTTCTGTCGTTTTGAAGTCACGATTGTGCAAGAACAGCCAAGTAACTGACAAGCTACCTACAGACAAGAAAGAAAATCAAGGAGGCATATGATGCCGAATTTACAGCCACGATTGAAAGAGCAGAGAAGCAAATCATTCTTGCTCGTCATGGACGTCGACTCCTCAATCTTCTTGATGATACACCAATCGTACCAGGAAATACTCGTCCAGCTTTCGAACACACTGAACAAGCTAGACAAATTCTCAATGATGCCGAGGATGATCTTCGCGACTGGCAGTTAGATGAGGAAGAACTTCAATCACAAGGTAACTTGGATTCTGGTGCAATGCGTCAGGAAAGTGTTGAACATCAACAAGTCCAAGATGTAGGGGGTTCCGTTGTTGGTACTGAAGATGGTTATCGTAATGAAGGAGTTCAATCGGAAATTGGTGACAGTAGGATCAGTAGTGGACAACAAGTCCCAGGAAGTTATGCTCCTAGTGTTACGGGAACTTCAGTTACAACTGGTCCGATGGAGACAAATGAGGTTAATAGGGTTGTTTAAGATGGTGGATAGTTCACATAACTTTCCGGTCGTTAATGCCGTATAATTGAAGCTTTAATAAGTTGTGAATTCTCTATCTCATAGTACTTTTTGTTGTGAGATGGTCGTTTTGGATTCCAAGGTTCGAGTGCGTAGAATAAATATGTTCCGATGTAAGATTATGAATTGTTTTCTATCGCATGAAAGGTTATAGATCTTTAAAGTCAAGTTGATGCTTTGAGTTAGCACATCTTCTTGAACTTTATTCAGATGTTCCTGAGTATTACAAATCGGAGAATACAGTAAAACTCGGTTAGCCTTATACCGGAACGAAAAATTCGATTAATCAAATTCCGTATAAGGAAAAATTCCGGTATAAAAAATAAGAGTTTAAATGTTTTTGTTCATATTTCTATTAATTAGATTTTAGCTTTAAAATCTCATGTTTTTGAAGGATATTATGTCATAGTAATTAATTGAAGCTTATTTTGTTAAATTTGTTATTGAGAATTTATTGTTAAAATTTATATCAAATTCGAAAGAAAAAAAAGGATTTTAATGTTTTAGTTTTATTCAAAAATCTAGTGTTTTTATATAAAAACTAATCAAATAAGGAAAGTTTTCTAATATTTTTCAAGATTCCGATAAATCTCAATCTGATATAGTCAAGTCCTACTGTATCCCTATATCCCTACGAAGTATAGCCGAATGAAAGGGGAAGCGCGATGATCACATCATCCGAACCCCGCCATTTATTCCTCGGCGAAAATAAGCTGCCGCTCGTCGGGCAGGTTAGGTATTGATCATTTTAGTTATTCTCTGAGTCTGTCTACGTATCGGTGAACAAAGTTTTTGATTTCTTGGTTGATTTCTTTTTGCTGGCTGCGCTGTTTGGATGCGGGATTTGGGCTTGATAAGGTGAGGTGAGGTAAGGTAAGGTAGATGGTTGGGGATTGCGGATCGTGAATATGTCTCCGAAAAGTGGCCGGTTTGTTGCCGGTTGGGGGTGTGGTTGGTGTGGTGCGGGGGGAAAGTCGCCGGGAAGTAGCCGGGAGGAGTTGATGGAAGAGGGAGTTGATGGGGATGTTGATATGTTTGCTTTTGGGGGAGGGAGGAGGAGGGGTACATATTTGTTTTGTATGCTCTTTTTTTTTTGGATTCGAATCTTGTGGTGGTATAGTACAGTTGGAAGCAAGACAATACCATCAGATATCATACGATCAGATACGATACGATCAGGTACAATACGATATAATACAATCTTACACCTCACCACAGCAGAAAATCAAAAGCAAAAGCAACATACCACAAAATGACCAATCTCATGAAAGAACTCGGTACGGCCCAATTACTCAAACCACTTTTCTCCCTTTCATTTCTCCTCTTCTCTCTCTCATCCCCTCCACAACCTCCAAATCCCCCATCCAAAGCCCCCACGCGCACTAACATCCCCCCTTCCCCAGGTTCCCAATCCAAATGGAGCACCTCTACCTGCATATCCTGCATCACCCAGATGTCTACCTCCAAAGGTCTTCAACCTAGCACTCTCCCTCTCCGTCACATGATACAATTAGCGCACGATGTACTACCGTTCGATAGTGTCGCTTGCAAAGAAAAACTCATCCTAGATGTGGGTTGTGGAACTGGACAGGTGACGGAGTATTTAATGGGGGAGTTTGGATCACTTCTTCAAGCCTCGATGAAGGGGGAGGAGGGGGAGAACCAGGTACCGGGAGTGAAAATTCTCGCCTCGGATTTCAGCCCCCCGATGGTAGCACAGTTGCAGGCGAGGAAAGAAAGGGAGGTGGAGAGGGGAAATGGAGTTTGGAAATGTGTGAAAACGGAGGTGTGCGATGCGCAGGATTTGAGAAGGATTGTGGGGGAGGGAGAGGCAAGTCATGCGTTTGCGAGTTTGGTGTTGTTTATATTGCCGGAACCGAGGAGGGGGTTGGGGGAAATGAAGAGGACGTTGATGAGAGGGGGGGCGGGGGCGTGTACGGCGTGGAAAGAGAGTGAGTGGATGGTGCTTATGGGGGTGGGTGCTGCTGCTGCTGCTAAGGATGGGGATGGAAATGGGGATGGAAACCCGGAAATGAAAATGGAGATGCCCGTAGAGTGGACGAGTACTGAGGGTGTGAGGAGGGAGTTCGAGGATGTGGGATTTGTGGATGTGCAGGTTGTGGAAACGGAGGCGAGATGGAGTTATGAGAGGCATGAGGAGGTGGTGGATTTGATATTGGGGTTTCCGGGGATGAAGATGATGATTGGGGAGGAGAGGTGGGGGGGAGGGGGGAGGGAAAGAGCGAGAGAGGGGATGTTGGGGTGGATGGGGAAGAGGTTTTCGCAGGGGGTGGGGGAGTTGAGGGGAGTGGCGGTGGTGGGGGTGGGGAGGAGGGGCAATTAGAAGAGGAAAGGGTTGTGGATGTGGAGAGGTTGTGAGATGGGAAATGCGTATCGGGATATCAGATATTGCACTTTTCTAGTCTGGTGAGATAATTTGAGAGTTTGAATCAGAATATGAAGCGAATCAAGTGGTGTAAAGAAATCTACTCCACAAATTCCTTTTGTAAAAATATAAATTCCACACGCAAATTCTTGAGCATGACGTCGTGACGTCATTCAGATACTCACAATAGCATCTGAATACAAATTACAATTCTTTTTATGTCTTAGTAATCTTATCTATAAATACTTTAATAATAATATTTTAACACTTATAGTATTATTTGATTTGAAGTTGAAAAAAGATTTTTTTTTTTTTTTTTTTTTTAAAAAATAGTTTGAATAGTAAGTTGAATTCCAAGTCATCTTAGTTTCTTTCCTCTTAAATAAAGTGAAAAACAAAGATTGAGAAGTAGAGATTGAGAATTGAAGGTTATAGATCCATCTATCGAAGAAGAAAGACAAGTATCATCATCTTGAAATTATAGAAAACAATTCCCTAGATAATATAACAAATATATTAAAGATGAGAATCTGCTTTTGAAGGATTCTGGAAATATGTGAAATTGTTGGAACACGTGATATGCGATATCAGGACAAGTTATTGTTATATGTAATGTCATTTCTAATGTGATATTTATTGACGATGATAGTAATGATATTATTCTCAATGATATTATTTATTTAGATAGTATATTTGTAGAATAATATTCTTTCTTTGAAAAAAAGCAGAGTTAGATAGATGAATACAATCCCTTTTAACTTATACATTTTGTATATACATCTTAGAAAGTCTGTTCAATAGAAATAAATGAGTAAGTAACTATGTATCTAATCAGGGTTTCTCGGTTGTAACTTAATGAACAAATACATGTACGAGTATTTATCTAGAGTTATTTATTCAGAATTATCTTATCTATTTATAATGACTAGAGTAGTAATTTTGAAATCAAATATTGATATATGAATAGGTATAAACTTTTTCGAATAACATTCCTATATATATAAGATTACATAATTTTAGGGTGTTGAACAAATCATAAATTTCACAGATGTCGATTATTGAGCTGGGATAGCTCATAGTCTCGGTTTCACACATATTTATGTCTGTTTCTAGAGGTTTTAAAGTACTATATCCATTACTGATTAGATAGTTCCGACATCTCATTCATCTATCGACCTAAGTATCTCGTTAGCGCGATGAATGATTTACTAATGATATAGATTCTCGTATAAAATTCGGTTGGTAAGATATATCTAGTAGGATATATCTAGCATCCATGGGTTCTGAAAGGGTGCCTCACATCGCAGTCTGATGATCAGACGACTCCAGAATGATGAATTTAGGGGTGTGTAGATAATCGATATAATTCTGTATTTGGGATTATCTCAAAGCTCGGAGTATAACTTAGATTGTCTGGTTTCGAGACTTGGGAATTGTATTTAATGATACTCTTATTAACTAGCTAATTGAACACCATATCTCTCTCTCCGGGAATAAATTATGATGTTTCGAGATCTAAAACACTTCTCTCTCGATTGACTAAAATTATAATCCTTGTGAATGGATTCAGGAAGCAATTATCATATTGAAATCTTCTCTACTACAAAAGCACACCAGTTCAGTCCTCTCATTTCTTTCTCCTTACATGTGGGATTCGCTTCCTTTAGAGTTGTGAATTGACCGTTAGATTATTTTGCACTATCAAATCATATCGATCGACTGATTTTTTCTTTATCAACTGTTATTTTGAAGACAATAGTAAATGTTTGAAGTATATAAGTCATTTCATAAACAGAACTTCAAATTTATAGGTTTTCGATTGTGTGATAGTCATGTAGCTGTTTGGGGTAGCTCTGTTAATTCAAATGATGTCATATGATTGGTTTTGATTTGGCTGTCAAGTTGAACTCATGAGTCAACTTCGTTGAAAGAGATTTCGTCCGATGAATCTAGTAAGGTGGGTTAGATTATGTATTTACTTATCGATGAACATATCGATGGTGATTTATTCATGTTTTTTGAATTTCAGTTGGAACGGGGGATGAGGGACGGAAAATATTAGGAGATTCGTGGAAATTTGTGGATATTCGTGGGAATTCGTGGAGATTTATGGAGATTCATGGAAATTATAGAGAAGCTCGAGGTTGATCCTAGTGTTTATATTGATGTTGGAGTCTGAGGGATAAAATTCAGCGTATTTGGAATTTGCTGCATTGTATTTGCCAACAGTAAGCTGATATGGTAAATTTGTATTGAGTGGGTTTTTATGATGAGGACTCCTGGTTTTTGAAATCGTTTGTTGGGACATGAGATGATTAAGAGGGTTTAGAGATATGGTGTTTTCATCATCGGAGGCTATTGCTCTGGTGTGTGTGTTTTGTGGGCAGTAGCTAGGGAGATATGATGACATGAGGAGGAACTGGTAGGTTGGGGAGTGAAGTTTAAGAGAATATAAAAAAATGTAAGTGTACTACTCATACGGGAGTAAGCAATTTTGGGTTGAGTTCAAATCATGGAGAGGCGTTCAAAGTTGTGTGATTATAAGAATTACGGTGTCTCGATGGGGCATATTCGTTCCTTCTCGAAATGGGGCTTCAAAATATTACTATCAATGGAAGACATAGTTCTGTGTGACTCTTGGCTGAGAGAGCAATCCTGATTATCTGACTGGAATCTATGAGTCTAGTCATTCTAATTTGAGAAATATCTTTGTGATTCATCAATTGCTACTCGTACACTCAAGTTTCCAAAGGAAGAAATGATCAAGCTCTCATGTGTATGAATGGAATTTCCTCTGATATTTCAAGTACAGAACTTATGATATTATTAGGGTGTTTCCAAGTTGAAATCCTTTCCATCATCTCAAGTACATCATAAGTATTCTGAGTAGTTCCTAAGTTCTTTACAAATATCCACCAATTCAACGATAAGTTTCCAACATCGGCACGACAAATCTCCTTTTCTCCCACTCCAAATCCAAGCCTACCAGGCGTCCCATAATCTGCCTCACCCCAACCTCAATTTCGTTTCTAATTTTGCGGACAGAGGCTACCTCAAACGTAATTGCGGGGTGATCTGTGTGCAAACAGATCAATCTGTCACACTCCGACGTGAAATCAAGACGTGTAGTCTTTTCCGCAACTCGAAATACCGAGCTAGTATCCGCAAGAGATTGTGCCACATCTAATGGCCAGAGACCTTTTTCCGAAGCCGAGGATATCAAACTATCTAGAACAACTTTGTCACATCTTCTTCGGTGTCGTTGGACTTCGTAGGCATCTTCTGGTGTTTCGCTTCTGTCGATGGCTCTGCAGAATCGGTGAGCGCTGTCGATGTTATCCTCACGTGTGGTGATCGTAACTCTGATGATGTTGCATACACGTCTAATGTAGGCACGTCTTACGTTATCAAGCTTCTCTGAAAGACATATGTTAGTTGGATATCTTTAGAGCGCGAAAGGAAGTCTAGGTAGGAAAGATTACATACGAATGACACTGTGTGGAATCGGTAAATCGACATAGAAACTTGCTACAGAATCGACAACACTTCCAACAGTTTTATATTGGATGTGGCGGGTAGTGTCTCTGAACTCATTCCCCATATCGAATACCCAAGTGATGCAAAGTAATAAGGGTAAATCATCCAAACGATGAGAAATGATCGGATTTCCACGAAAATATGAATGTGCCCATTCTGCAGTGCGAAAGTTGGTCGCCTCATGCATTTGGTATTTGTCCACCAGAATCGCCGCATGGCCGAGGACATCGAAAGTCACCATGGGACGACAATCGGGATGCTGATGACGTCCATGAATCAAAAGTACGAGAGTCGTCATGATTTCAGCATCGTCTTCTGGAAGTGGAATCTCCACTTTGCCAATGTGTGAGAGAGTTGTGCCTTCATTGTAGACGTTTGGCCGAAGCATTGCTCTGAAGACGGCAGATGCGAGACCAAGATGTTTCGAGGAACATAGAATTTTGGTTTTGTTGACATGTCCAATTTCTGTTGATTCAAGAAGGAGTAGGACATCTCCTTCGGGATCTGCAACTATTGTTTTTGGGGTGTCAGTTGGTGTAGAAGACATGGTTATATGCTGAGCAGTTGGGGATTGAGTAGGTTAAAGAGTTGAAGTTAAAGTATAATGACTATGCTCAAGGATTTGTGCATTATACAAGAAAACTTGATAAAGTTTTGGAAATTGTAAAGAACTGTAGGAGCTGTTTGTTTATAAGAAAATGTGGATGCGGAAGTAGAAAAAGTATTGCCATCTATCTATGAGAATTTAAAGATCGAAAAGTCGAAAAGGGCACCGTAGTGGTTTCCTCGAAGTGAACTAAGTCATAAACTGAGTAAAAAATATATCAGGTTGACTAGTCGAATTAAGTGAATTTGCGGTAGCAATTTGCTGGTATATGATGAGTTTTGTGAATATATTCACATTTTTGTGCTTCCTTCATTAAAGCAGCTTCGTTTCGTCAGTTAGTGACTGTGAATTTAATAAGTGTGTGAACAAAGGTTGAATGAATGGCCTCAAGTCATTCATAGCCTACATCAAAGGAGCTAGTCTCGTAGCAAGGCCTATATGAGGCTCGCTTCTTCCTGTGATTAGCTACCTCCTTAGATAGAATACACATTGAAAATTAGACCCTACATTCAGGTTCTGCGTCATTCGTGTTCTATTCTACTCAATCCAACATTAAGATTAGTAGGATAACTGAAAGGAAAATACTGAGAAAAAAATCGATAAAGTCTTTCGAAGAGTAAAAAGTACCCTGGGTTTTTTCTTGTATACTACATCTCTAACTAACGGTGATAAGATGTCTCCATAATCAATAGGAATCTTGGAAACTATATAACTATACTCAGAGATGAAGAAACAAAGGAGAAATTTGAATTGATATCAAGGAAGAAAGAGGTGCTCTCGGAAGCGATGGACATGGACTCCAAACAAGATACTTTCACTTACACCAACTCATTAACAGAGTCATCAAAAGACTTTTTTCAAGAACAAACGCGAAAGAATCTTGGTGTTTCCATTAAAACTTTAGTTGGCTGGGTTTGTATCTACAAACAACAATTTTATGATGAGTCTCTTGGATTGTTGAGACATCAGACGACCTGAATTCAAGGGCTTGTTGATTATTAGATCTCATAAGAAGGATGAGATGAGTTGAATAGATGTTTGATGACATACTAGGAAGAGTCTGTAGTCATTCAATTTGGTAAATGAGAACAACTCACACTGCTTTGGTCTATATTCACTCAATATGTTCAATATGTATGATGACTCGGATTAGCTCTACTTTATATACTGTTGACACTTACCCTTGTCCAAGAATTTGAAAATTTCCTTTTGCAGCGACTCTTTCTTTGTTACATCTCCCAACCAAAGGATATGACCGAGAAAAGACAAGGACAACTATAAACAAGTGTTGCTCGTCCTTCTTGCTCAAAAGTCTCAGTCATCCACATCATCTGCACCTTCTTCCCATTTCTTTACATCCATCATTTGATTCGCGATCCCCGTTTCCCACCAAAAAGTCCTTGAAAGCCTAACGCTCAATCACAAACCTGCACCTCAGTCTCCCGACATTAAAATTGTCTTTCCACGAACACTCAGATAACTTTACCATTTCTTAGCAAAGTCATTCCAATTAACCATTTAGGATGTCAGACGCTGGAAATGACAGCGGACTCTCGCAACCAGATTCCCCGGATCCAACACCCGAGCCATCACCACCACATGGCGGATCTTCTCAACCAGATCCTTCGGATCTAGTCGTTCGCTACTCAGATGTCCAATTTCAACATATGAGACACAATGCAGTAATTACGGTCGGAGACAAGAACCTCTCAGAAATGTTGGATGCCTTTGAAGCCATTCGTCAGCTTCCAGAAGAACAGCAATATGAGAAGTTTACGGAATTCAACGTTTGGGTCGAAGCACAGAAGGCTAAAGCGGACACCCTGACAGAAATGGCAATGGTTCTCATCTTGAAAGATAACCTTCATATCAAAGCCAATGTGTCCACAAAACAGATGAAGATTGACAATGAAGAGGTTCTTACCAGAGTGGAAAAGACTCGCGAACACCGACAGAAGGCCATCAACAAGATCAAACAATACTGGGGCCTCTCTCGTAAAGGCATGTCGTTTGCCACGATCCTCATCATGTCCTACGGCACAAAATTTCAGAATGTCCTTTCCAAACTTGCGAGATCCGCACCCCCTGACCAAGTACTGGAGGTAGCCAATGGAGAACTCATACGAAGACTGACTGCCCCCCCAAAGGCAGGTGTTCGAGTCAACAGGCACTTGATGCCTTCTGAGTTCAAAATTGCGATAAAAGTACTCGACAACAAGCTACCCGAGACGGCCTTCCAATGGAACGATCAGCAAAGAAGAGATTTAGGTCTCCGGTTCAATATGGTCGGCATGCTTGGTGAAGCCAGTGTAGATTACTCGGAAGACGTTCCACCTGTGGGCGACTCGGTCATTGAATTACTGGATGTCCCATCTCCCCCTCCCAACGAAGAAGTGTTGGCGAACCTTGAAAGGTGGCAACGACTCGGAATGATCGTCACAGAAGTTGATGATGAGCCACGAGAAGGGTGCTTGATGGACCAGATTGTGTCTCGACAAGGAGTGATCCCCCCTGAGAATGAAGACGAGAATGCGGATGTCACCCAGCCTAAAGCATGCAAATGCGATGAAGGAACCCTAGAAGACAAAGACTGGTTCCTTGCACTCAAAGAAAAATACATCGCCAAGCAAATAGGTTGGATGGCGATGGTAACTCTGGTTGACCGAAGGCCGGAAGGGATTTGCGGCTATCACCTCCACCAACTTGCGAGTGCCCTCGGACTCAAAACCGCTCACATAGCTCGAGACGATCTTGTTAACCGTCTTGAGTTTTTGTCCAAACATCGCGCTCGCATTGACGACATTCGAATCAAAGGAAAGTACTTTGCTTGGTTCAAGGGGAGTGAGTTGGCTAGTGCAGAGCGGAAGAAGAAACTCCTTGGGGTCCTCAAATTTCGCCCCATATCACGAAGCGCTAGTAAACCCATCATTCCACAAAACCCTGCCGCTGGGTTGACAAACGCACACAAGTTTGGCGCATTTAGACCGGACAAAGAGAAGGCCCTTCATATTAGTTCGCCATCCTTCAGACCCCTCTTGCAACAGTCTGTGTAGATGTACTGTTACCACAATCGGTACGAAATGGCTGGACTCGGGTTTGCCCACCACTGCTACTACTCGCCAATGCAACAAGCATGCAGGCAGGACCTGAAACTTTGGTGGCACGCCGCAAAGCAAAGGATGGATCAAGAATTTCGCCTGATAACTATCCCTTTTCCTGCTGTCATTATCCAAAACGGCGAGACCTTTGATCATACTGTTGTCCATGGCAACACGAAAGATCTTTACGCCAAAAATGATTTCAATTGCGCAGATCATCTAACTGCGTATGTTGTCCACTCTGCGATTAAAGAGAGGAACATGTCCAAGTACGGGTTAGGGAGTGCACAATTGAAAGAGGGTTCCGAGCAACAATTGGCGTGGAGAAATCTCGCAGCAGATACGCTTGGAAAATACCATGGCATGTTCGAAAAAGGGTACTTCCAAGACATCACTTCCAAAAAGAAGTACCTCGGTTATTCCAACCTGGTCAAGTCTGAACATTTCGTAGGGCGCAACAACAGATCCTGGGCTCTTGTGCTAGGGGGAGCTCCTGTGACCTTCAAGCGCAGCAAGTCTGGAGCAGGAGACATACCATTTGCAGCTTCCATTGTTCCGTACGTAGCGGTGACACGATTTGCCGATGGATCGTTGAACCCTGAATTAGAAAACGGCATGAAGTATAAGGATGTCAGAAACGCTCACAATAACCTTTTGCTTATCTTCGATAAGAACGTTACCCAAGACGGAAAATATGAAATCTCGGGATTCCCTGTGGAGTGTCACCTAATCACCCAAAATCCTGTTTCGCAAGCCCTTGTTGGTACCCTATCCTGGGACGACCAGTCTGTCCTCAACGAAGCTGCCAAACTCCTCGCGATGAACCAAAAGGAATTTTACGAGTGGTATGCGGCTTATGGAAAGTCGGTTATGGAACCTTACCGAAGAGTTTTTGCGGACTTCGAATCAATGGAAAGAGGGTATGGAGACAAATCTTACTTTGTTGCAGGGGACAACTCTGGAGGGCAAGGTAATGAACCAGAGCCTGATGTCGAAGGGAATATCGAGCCCATTTCCTCGGGCGATGACGAGATTCGGGACTCTCCTGGCCCAGGACATGGGGAAAGCCTAACTGTCAGCCGTAAGAGACCGAGGATGCCCGATCCTGACGACGATCAAGAGAGTGCTGAGGCTCCTAGGCGCAAAAAGCCAAGAAGAGCGGCACCTGATCCTGAATTGGAAGATGATCCCGAGCACTCTCCCGCACGACGTCAGAGTGCTAGGCCCCCATCCCGCAGAAGTAGGCGACAAGCTGAGGCGAGAAAGTAGTTTCTGAAAAGCATGATCTTGGTCGTCATCACTTTGCCAAATTTTGGCAAAGTTATACATCCCGAGCAGAGAGGGCTGACAGTTAGGTTTCATTGTGAGCGGACATCAGTGTTGTTGCGAAGGTTGTTGATTCTTTTTCTGGTTTCCTCTTTTTCTTGATGTTTGTGTGTTTTTTTAGTTGATCGGGCCGATCAACTTATCTATGAGGGGAGGATTGTGGGCGAAAAATGGGTACATGTCACGTGACTCCTACTATAGCTAGTATTTATAGGACTCCTTTGTATAGTTTTTGTATAGTTTAGAAAAGATAATCAGTTCCAACCCATCAAACTCTACCCCCTACGTATACGTGAATGCTTTCCAGAGCCTCTCTTCCCTCTCCTCCTTCAAAGGCGCTACAATACAGTGACATTTCTACGGTATTTGTAAAGGATTACTCTATGACCCTACCACCTTCTACTCTTTTACAATACCTACTTATTAGTTTATTAGATTTAATCATGGCGTCACTTTTGTGTGCGCCTCACTGAAAGTGCATGGAATTCTACATCATTGGATTTCTAATATTGAAATGCTGCGTATATGTATTATGGAGTTTGAGGATAGTACTTCCGACGAATCAACCGCGAAATCAACATCATCACTTTTTCTGCTAGCAAGATCATGGAAAGCCATTATGAAATGTATATTCATATCGGCTAGGTTTTTCGAACACCAGAACTTACATAAACATACCTATGTACAATGTCTCCTATGTCTTACAAGGTAGCCCAACGATTCCCCGATTCACCACTAGGCTGTGCAACGGGTACCCGTGGAGCGGATAATGACCTCGACGGATAACCCGCGGATTATCTACAGCGGAGCGAATAATTCAAAATCTTGAATAAATAACCTGCAGATTATTTGCAAATTATTTATGGATATTTATATACTTATAGATAATCTATAAAGTAAATAATTTATGAATAATCTACAGATAATTTGTAAATTATTCACAGATATATAAATAATTTATAAATAATTTACAGATTATTTATAGATAACCCATATAATAAAATAAAATTATATTTAGATTTAACCTATATATATGCAAATTTATATCATAATATATATTGATTTTTATATTAATTTTTATATTAATCTTATTATTTCTCTAGCCTGATAGACTAATAAATTCAATTTATATATAGCTTTATATAATGATTTTCAAAAAAGATTAATATTTATTTTATTATTTTGAATGTAATTTAGAGTTTTCCATTAATATAAAAGTAATTTATTATTATATATTATAGCCGATGTATAAAAATTATATCTTTAACTTGAATAATAACACATTTTATATGAATAGTATATAAGTTCATTATTAATAATTATTAATTTTGTAATTTAAAATAAAAACATATTAAAATCTATTTTCAAATTTAATTATGATAATAGATTCTATAGCCTCTTATAATATCTTTACAATTAAATATTAAATTTAAAAGGGAGTATATTTATACATAATTTCTTTTATTAATCAAATAAATAATAATTTTGATATTAAAAGCTTTACTAACTTTTAATATTAATGAATTTCTTGAAGTATAATAGCTATAAAGATTTTAAAGGCTTATATTAATCATTATATTAATTATTCTACTAATATTTTAATTTATTATTAGACTTAAATCTTCATTTCCTTTTGTTTACATTAGGATTATATACTTTTTTTATATGACTTTGACTTTTTTTATTTTTAAAAGTAAATTGAATTCTGTTTAATATATTATAAAAATGTTCTATAAGGTTAATATATATTTAAAAATAGAAGAGGAGGGTAAATTAATTTATTAATGTGGATTGTAATATAATAGAGTTTAGGAATATTAAAAGAAAAGTAGGTTGAAATGTGAATATATTTAATTAAAGTTTAAAAAAAGCAATATTCAAATAGGAATTAAATCCTTACCCTAAAGCTAAGTGAATATATATAAAATACCTCCTTACTTTATAAAACTTTAATTTATTTATATTATAATTTACAATCTAATAAATCCCTATTATTCAATATAACTTTATATTAATCTTTATACTAATATTCAATATGTTTTCTAAATGTAAAGCTTCTAGTGAATTATTTAATAATCCTTATATAATTAAAGCTTAAAATCAATTTAATAATCGAAACGAATTTGAGATTTAAATTGAAAAAGCTAAAGTGAGCGATTAAGCTGTAATCACTTATTAATTAAAAATTATTTGTTAATTAAAAAAATGAATTTAAATAAATAAACTTGAACATATTAATATAAAAGAATGAATTAAAAAAGAAGTGATTTATAAGCAATAAGTAATAATATATTTATTCTTTTTCTATTAATTAATATTAATTCTTAATTTATTAGAAAGTTAATAGATATTTATGTATTACAGATTTCAAAAAGATTAGGTTATAAAGATAATAATAATCAATTCGCATAAGTTTTTGATGGTAATGAAAATTTTGAAGATTATGAAATAGAAAATGAATTAATTCAAGAACAAATTTAAAGAAATAATAATGAATATAAAATAAAATAAAATATTAATTTAAAAGGTAATAAAAAAGAACAAAAGTAAAAGATTTTTGTTTATAGCATTAAGATATATTGATTTTTATGATTTGAATTTTTTCTTTTATTAATTTATTATTTAGAAATATAAGAATTTTAAATTTCATTTCTAATAAAAGGTTTAGAAGAGGGTAATGAAAAGATTTTAGAAAAAGTATAATAAATTGAATCAATATGGAATTCAACATTTAATATTTTGAGATCCTTATATTAATTTATAAACTGAGTAAGTTATTGATATTTTATATTAATATTTATACTAATCATATCTTTTTATATAGTACATACTATGAGATTAATCTACCTTATAGATTTTTCATTTCTTATAAAATAATACTATAACAAATTTTTTATATTACTCTTAATGTTAAATATAAAGAAGAAAATTTAGATTAAGTATAGCTATCAGGTCCTAATAAGTAGTATATAGAGGGCTATAATCTTAAAGGATATGGATTTTATAATCCACCTAAAAAAGATAAGAAGCTTTATAAGGATATACTATTACTATTAATACATTCTGATAATTCTATCCCTTTAGATTATTAATATATTAATTTTATACATAAAAAGTTTTACCTTATAATCTTAAAAAAACTATTCTTCAAGCTTGATATATAAATAACTTTTTAATATTAGTATTTTATTAATATTCTTTTTATTATAATTATAATAAAATATTTTTTAATACTATTTATTTAAAATGACTACTTTAATTTCAGAATTAACTAGTGAACTTAATGATTATGATCTTCAAAGTGATTTCGAGGATTATAATTTAATAGAAGATTTCACTTTGATTCTATCAATTATAAATTCTAATTAAGTTTGCTTTCTTTTTAAATTAAATATTAAACAAGTGTTTTTATAATAATAACGATAAACATTCTGATACAAATCGAATAATTCAAATAATATTAATTCTTATAAAATAATTAATTGAAAGGGGGATAAAAAAGCAGTAATTTAGGACTTTTTTAAACAAGGAACTAAGTTTAAGAATGAAGACTCTTATATAATCTATTGAATCTGTAATATTATATTTATCCACCCTAATATTTGAGATAGAAATATAGAAATAATATTTATATCTAATTATTTGAGATTTAAGATATATAGGGCAATTATTAGTTCTATATAAAGCTCTTTATTATTTAAAGTAAATCAAAATATATATTATTCTAATTAATATAAGAATTAATATAAAAATTAATTAATAAAGTAGTAAGTTATATATCAAAATTTTTAATAAAAGAAGAATTCAATAATCAAGTTCTCTCAATTTTTTATTTTTTTAAAGTTCCTTTTCAAACTATAGAAAATCTTTAATAAAAAGCTTTATATTTAATACAAAATCTACTTTTTCTATTACTTTCATTAATAACACTTTAAAACCTTCTTAATAAATATATTCAATTTTTTGAATCTATTATTTTAGCTTATTTTTTTAATTGTTTAAAGTATATAATCACTTTAAATTACTAGTTAAGTTTAATAAAAGATTCTTTTATAAAAATTAATTATTATTTTATTAATTAAGATTGAAATATGAAGTATATTCTTATTAATTTCAAAGTTATTTATAAATCTTATATGTCGGAACACGTGACCAGCAACGTGACATTACATGTCACGCTTTACCTCATATACATACGAAGTGTGTAAGTGGGGGTAGTACATGTATATAGATATAGCAATTCCCTCTTTATACAAAGAGAATAGACAGAAATAAACAACCCTTTTAACCATACATATTATGTATATACACCTTACCAAGTCTGCCCAACATTATATTAATTAATACCTTGAAAATATTCTTTTAAATGTTTTATAAAAGTTTAATTTCCTTAAAAAAAATTAATAAAATAATTATAGATAATACTTTAAATAATAAAACTTTATTTACAAAAATGAATAATGTTCTTTAAACCTTAAAGCTTATAGATCTAATTTCTTAGAATAAGATATTACAAATCCCTTATTTATTTTATTCTATTTAATTAACTTTGAAGAGTTTATTCACTATCATTTATATTAATTTTATGAATAATAAGCTCTAATGTAATTAAAAAGAGTAACAAAATAATGCTAATCTTACAGCTACTAAATATAATATTCACTTTATTTTAGCTAAAATATAGACTTCTTTTATATATTAATATTTATATTAATTATAAAATAGGTATAACAAATTACTATTAAAATCAATATAAGCTTAATTTATTATAGAAAATTTAAATTCTTTTAATTAAATATATAAAAAAAGCCTTTACATTTAATTCAAAATATTTCTATATATTGAAATTTTATCTATTTAATATTTGTTTAATTGTTAAAACTATAATATATGTATAATTGATATATAGATATAACTTCTAATATATATATCTTTAGTTTTGA